TGGAGTTATTACCTGCTGGACGTCGCTGTGCTGTGACTGCTGTGTCATGATAATAACTGAGACCGCCATCTGCAAATTCCCTCATAGTTTAAACTTTAAACAGAATAAGTAAAGCTAATGTCTGTGAGGGCTGATATCAATAAAGAGCAGAAGCATTGCTGTAAACATCTTTATCGCTGCTGTACAATATTAGCACAGGGGTCTGCGGGGACTGACTCACTATTGCCTCTGCTGGACGTGAGAGGAACTGCAGTTTTGCTGCTTAGTTAGCAGCACTTAAAGACCACTGCAGAGCTAACCAGCTCAGACTCGCTCACTCGTTTTGAAAGCCTCTGAGCTCTGACGTGGACTGAAGCGTGCATGTCCAAGAATGAAGAGGACGTTTGTTTATCTACAGGGCAGCGACCTGATAACCTCACTGTCAGGTTAGACAGCGTTCATGACGAGAACAGAGCGTGACATCTAAACCCAGTGATCATTTATTTCTTCTCTTTCTTTACAGAGAACTCGGCAAAACTTCTGGCATGCAGACGACCAAATCTGAACATTGCAACAGCAGATACGTTTCAAAGGAAATCTGATTGGATTATTCTTTTCTATTAGCATTTGGAGACAACATTGCTCATTAATATCCTGTTGCCAGTGTGCTGATGCTGAATCTGTCATATCCTACCCCGCTGCATCATCTCCCTCAATCATTTCCTGCACCGTGTAAATGTTTTCCTCATAATCAGCAGTTTTATAAGATAAGATAAGATGACCTTTATTAGTCCCACAGGTGGGAAAAGCCTCTGAGCCCCACCATCCACCCCGGGCACCTTTAGCACTCAGACACAGCTCCTACATGTGAGGCTTTATCCTCTGAGAGCTGTTCCTCTGAGCCACGACAGTTTATGGGCAGCAACGTCAGCAGAGCAGAGGCTTCAGAGCTAATGGTGCAGCTAGAGACAGTCAACAATGGGACCCAGTATAATCCAGAGAGACTGAGATAGAAGCTGTTGGTTTGACTGGTGGTACTTGTATCACTGACATACAGGCTACAGCCGAGTAGAGTCCTGATCTGTCAGAATGTGAGCTCATATTTGGTGCTGTCGTTGTCCTCCCGCGTCAGAAAAGGAAAAACCTTCCAGCTCAGATCAAAACTGGCTGAGGCTGAATGTTAGAGGAGAGAGAGGGATGAAGATGAAGAGGCAGAGAGTCCTCAGAGGGGGAGACTGAAGGAGAAGGGCTCGGCTCGGGTTGGTTTTAGAGAAATGTTTGGATTTTGTAAGAAGGAAACATTTGTGATGAACACTGTTTAAGAAGAGGGAGGAGCAGGGTGGAGGTGATGGATGAGGAAGGTGCGCACAGGTAGGCCACATATTATGCAGAAGCTGGAATCTGAAAAATAGGAGGTGGTGTCATGGTAGTCTGCAGGATGACATCACGAAGAG